GGCGCTGTTGTCCAACTAAAGTACAAAAAACAACTAGTCGACCTGCTTTGTTAACTAGGGACCTAAATAGGCAGCTACGGAAGAAAAGTAAAAGATGGAAAATATTCAGGGAAACTGCGTCACCAGCGCATTTCGAAGAATTTCGTCGTCAACGAAATGCCGTCAAAAATGTATCCGTCAGGCACGGAAGGAGTATAAATCCAAAATTATCCGACAGGCTGAACAGAAGCCTAAGATTTTATTTCACTATCTTAGCATTAGACTGAAAAATAAGGACCCGGTCGCGGTGCTAAAGAATGATAATGGTGTAGAGATCATTGAGAACAGCGAGAAAGCGGAACACTTAGGACAGTATTTTGCCTCGGTTTTTACTAGAGAAACAGTTTCGCAGCCGCAGTGCCAGCAATGCTGTTGAGACTGCTGATCGCGTGCTTGACTCCATACTATTCCCGACAGCTGTTGTGGAAAGGAAGCTGAAAAATCTCATGGAAGCAAAGTCCTCGGGTCCGGACAATGTACCGGCCAAATTCTTGAAAGAACTGGCGAATGAACTCTCCAAACCACTGGCACACATCTTCCGCTCGTCATTCGAATTAGGGAGGCTGCCATCGGAATGGAAGACAGCAAATCTCTTTCCGATATACAAGGGCGGGGCTCGCACTAATGCCAACAATTAGCGGCCTGTTAGTCTAACCTGTATCTGCTGTAAAATAACGGAGGCCATAGTTAAGAAAGCAACAATGAAGTTCCTGGAACAGGGCCATTTACTCTCAGACCTGCAGCACGGCTTCAGACAGAACCGCTCTTGCCTTTCCAGTTTATCGCTCTCGACGGAGCAGTGGACTCGCGCACTGGACGAGGATGGGAGGGTTGATGTCATATACACAGACTTTAAGATGGCGTTCGATAGCGTCACGCAAACGCCTAATCTACAAACTTTCTGAAATTGGGATAAGAGGAAGGCTGCTGATATGGATAACAGATTTTCTTACCGGGAGATCGCAAACTGTGTGCAATGAGGCCTCACGGTCAACTCCTACTCCCGTTCTAAGTGGTGTACCCCAGGGCTCCGTCTTAGGGCCGTTGTTATTCCTGGTTTACATAAACGACTGCGTCGACGACCTGGGATGCAGCGCCATCATGTTTGCTGACGATGTTAAGCTGTGGAGACCTATCAGATCTGACGCAGGCAGGTACGCGCTTCAAGACAGTCTCAACCGCCTGAACAATTGGTCAGCTCGTTGACTCCCTACTTTTTATGCGGACAAATGTGTGGTCCTGAGACTCCGCACCAAAAAGACCAGTAAGGAGCACGATTCCTTTCAATACGTCCTTGGTGGCCAGCCCCTTTCAAATGTTGTGGAACAGAAAGACCTGGGCGTCCTAATGACCTCCTAGTTGAAACCATCATTACAGTGTCAAAGGGCAACCAAAAGTGCAATAAGGGTGTTATTTGCGCCAAGGCAAGGATTTGTGCAGATCGATAAAGAGCTATTCGGGAAAACCTATGGGGCATTCGTCCGGTCTCACTTAGAGTATGCAGTCCAGGCCTGGCGACCGTGGTTGAAGAAAGATTATCAACGACTAGAAAGAGTACATGCGATGGCTACGAAGATGGTCAAGAATCTTCATCATTTGCCTTACGAAACCAGGCCGACCGAACCAAATCTGTTTCCTCTAAATTGCAGGCAACTGCGCGGCGAGCTCATTCAAACCTACAGGATTGTCAGAGGCCGTGAGTGTGCCCTAGACTTTAATGAATTCTTTGAATTGGCTGGGACTGACCGTCTGCGTGGTCATCCCTTCAAACTGCGAAGGAAGCGGACTCATTCGGACGTCCGACGGAACGCCTTCTCTCACAGGGTAATTGGGGCATGGAACGGACTCCCTGATGCCGTCGTTCTTTCCGAAAGTGTCAAATCCTTTAAGTACAGTCTAGAGGCTCATTTTCTGAGAAACTACTGTACATATAATAATGATTGTTTTAGAGGCGGCAGTTTGCGCCTGGCTCACACTTACCGATAACTTCTTAATTTTTCGTTTTTGCTGATGTAATTGATGACTTTATTTCTGTTTATCGATATGAATAGGGAGCTCAAGGGCGAAAGCCTCATCCTCTTAATAAACTGACTTAAACTGACTAAACTGACTTAACATTTATTTATAACCTGCATCACCATTGCTGCGGCCTGGTGGGGAGAAGAAACTTTCAGGTCGGGTGCGCTGGTGGGTCCCAGTTTTTACTGTAGAAAGAAATGTTCATCTTAAAAGAGATTTGGTTTCGATATCAAGACCATCTTGTTCTAAAGTGGTTTTGAAGCATATCAGACACCCCCAACCTCTTTTATTTCGGCTGTTCTGTCGATGGAAAATGTAATTTATGAAATACAGCAATACATTCGACACGCATTCATTTTCCAAAGATTATATTATGCAGCCGATATAAGGATTACAAATTCCAACAAAAATCATAAGTTGGGACATCTTTCACACTATCGACCTTTCATGGATTAGAGTCATGCTCCCAGTATTGGAAAAGGAAGAAAAGTTCTCTGGTGAAAAAGCGGTCTCCTGGAGTATTCTGGTTGTTCGTTGGGTTACATTCGGGAGATTTTGTAATTGGTAAAAAACATGCAAGTGTGTATGTTGGAGTTTGTGTGTACGGGTTAAATCTCCTTTATGGTTCCGTAGATTACAAAAGGGACTATTTTTGCTATTTAAACTCTTATATAATCACACATTTAACCCACTCACCTCTTTAAGACATCATATCCACCCACGACGTAACAGTCACCGTGAGGTCTTCTTATTTCTGCCTCTGGCACGTACTGTTACATATCGTCGGTTCTTTTCTGTAAATGCAATTGCTATTTGGAATAAACTACCCATGAGTGTAAAAACTCTGCAAAATTTTCCTTTATTTAAGAGAACTATTACTCGATTTTTGCATTCAGCAAAGCTCCCACAAATTTTGGGTGCTGAATCTACTGATCGACTGTACCGTAGCGATGGCGTTTGTGGTCTCTGAACACTATGGCCGGTCTCACCAGCTGTTCCTCAACGCCTCTACTTTGGCTATCCCCAGCTTCATTAAAGGAATTTGACGTCCGATAATCGCCGATACCGTGCAACCTCCCCCCTTCTTGACGGTCGATATTCTACCACCGCCGGCAGTTTTTTCTCCTGAGCCCTCCAAACCATAAAAGCCACCATCAACTATATTTTTATCCCTTTAGCTCAGGAGTTTTTTTCACTGCTGGTCGGATTTGTGTTTAATCGCTTCCCTTGACAATGCCTGTAAACTGGCATTAAATAAAAATTTATTTATTTATTTATTTATGCAGAGGTAGACTGGATGGGTGGTAAATGAAGCTCGATGAAGTTTCTGTTGTGAAAGTCTGTGGCCTTAGGTAGTAGGTCCGCCCCTCCTTAAGTTCTAAGATATTTGAAAGTTTCAAGTGCATTGGGTGACTTCTACAATATGTTGGTAGTGTTTGAGGAGCTAAAATATTATTATAAAGACGTGTTTGTATTAAAAAATATTTATGATGGACATTTGAAGCATGTGTCGTTCTTTAGTCTCCATATTTCGAATTATTCAGTTGCGGCAGTGTAGATAGCAGTGTTTTTGGGACAGTGGGACTAGCTGGATTTCCTACTAGTGTTTTAAGGCTTGAAATCCTCGTGCCACGCTTTTTAGCTGTTGCGCTAAAAATATTCCGTATCATTGGCAGTTTGCTTTGGAATGCTATTGTAAACATCGTACTACCGTCCAACAATGTGACGTGACTATGGCCGGCGCCTTTGTTCACACTCTGTTCAGGAAATATGTTAGTGTGCCGCGATGTTAGCTTTGCTTATTTACGTCATTTCTTCGAGCTGTCTGCGCAATTATGTATTATGTTGGGAGTGATGATTGGACATGGTCTTTTGGGATTAAACTAAGGGAACTTTATTCTGCTCATCTCCTACATATTTATTATATTTGTCCTGGGGATTTTGCCTCGACGGAGGTGTTAAATCAGGTCCCATAAATTATTTAAGGCTCCGAAGACGCTTGCTAACTCCCGGATTATGCGGCACTAGTTCCGCTTCTGGTTGTTTGCAGACAGTTACTAAAATCGGGTTGTTTTTGCTGCTCGAATCAGGCCCCGCTGTGGAAGCTGTTCGACTATTCGGGATATACGAGTGGATAGCCTGCTGGACTGGTGGAACTGGGTTGATCCTATTGGATATATTGGGGTACGAGGCACCTAGTTACGGGGCAAACCGTGCGGGTGTAGTATTCGGGATAATGTGTTCCCACACCCAGTAATTATGCCTCCCTCCCCACTTTCAAAAGTCCTACGGGGAGTGCGATAGGCAGTCCCGTAGGTGGTCCAGACTAACTCGGGTCGATCTCTCACTATAGGACGTCGTGGCTCGTAATGGAATTCGGCAGCCGCCTGGGATGTCTTAGTAGCCCTATTTAAGGACAGCATTGCCTAGACCTTGGCTGATGCAAAGGCTGAAAAGGGTGTCCTAAACAAACGCTAAAATTACGTCATTTCTACGCTGGCCATCGCCCCGCAGATGAACAAATAACGGTTGAAACAGTCAAACAAACAACCCTCGATATAATCACGGGCACAACGCACAGGCTGCTAGAATGACTCTGCCAACGCCGGCGGTCTGGAATAGTTGTCTGCTTTTAGACTATCCGTGGTGCGACTAACTGGAAAAGAGGGCGGTGCTGGTCGCTCAGGAACTGTCGTATTGCAAGGTAGGCATCGCTACCATCAGTTAGATCCAATTCTCTGAACAGTGTTAGCTAGAAGAGGTGGTTGACGGCTGCACTTTTTTCCTGGGCGGCCGCCGAAAGGCAGGGCAACCAGACGCTGACGTTTTCTCCGTCATCTAGGACGACGTCGTGGGACGATTGTCCCATCTGTTGCAGAGTCCCACCGATCGCCTTATGACCCTACGCCCGTCTATTTGGGGAGCTAAATTCTCCATCAGAATCAGCAACTAAGCAGCGCCCAATGACTGGCTCCAATGAGACAAAGAATAAATTCTGAGAGGAAATACATGCTGTCTTGGCGACTGTGTCGAATTTGGACAGGTCGGTAGTCCTCAATGACTTCAGTGCACGCGTTAGGACAGGCGACGCTACCGGGGAGGGAGTGCTGACCTCTCATGCTCTCGGCGGTTGCAACAATAACAGCCACCTCCTCCTGCGGACCTGCGCGGAACATCGTCTCATCCCGACTAACACTGTCTTCCGCCTTTCGACGACTGCGGCGCCGGCCGGCCACATTCTCGTCCGGAGGCATGACCGACGGGACGTGCTAGTGACAAAGGCGATCTGCGACGCCGACGGCTAAACGGATCGCTGTCTCGTTATCTTCAGGATGAGGCTTCGAAAGCACCTCACAGAAGATCTTAGGGTGAGCGACAAACATGTAGGTTAGATACCGCTGTGTTGAATGTGTCTGCTCACCACTCAGATTTAATTAATCAGCTGGCTCACTGCCTGAAAGGACAGCAGGCTCCAGACGATAAAGCCACCGCGGAGACACGATGGTGCCAGTTGCGGAACGTCATCCACTTCATTACTTTGGGGGTCGTCAGTCGCCCATGCCCTCAATATCAGGAGTGGTTTGAAGACAGCAATGCCGAAATTAAAAGTCAACTCGCTGAGAAAGATAAGCTGCAAAAATTCCACATCATCGGTGGGGCCGACTTCAACAAAGCAGCCTTCTTCAGGTGCCACCGGAGCTTGGAGCAGCGACTTTGGGAGGTGGAAAATGTGTGCATGGATCTCAAATATGGGAAAATTCAAGGGCATGCGGGACGCAACAAATAAGGAAATTCATCGTCTCGATCAAAATGATCTAAAGCTCCCAAGCCAAAGGAAACGCGGGACTGCTCAGCCCCAACAGAACAACATTCCTCTGGAGAAGTCGCAGATTCTGAAGTGTTGGGTTGAGCACTTCAGGAAATTCGCACCAACCCCTACACTATATTTTAGACCTGAGGAAAGCCGTCGACGTGGTGAATCGCGATGGACTCTGGGACATCCGACAGAAATTCGGTTGTCCTCAATGATTTACGCGCGTGGTGTGCCAGCTTCAGGGCGGGGTTATAGTGCGCGTCAAGGACAATGAAGCGGTCTCAGAAGCATTTGCAGCGACCAACAGAGTGAAGCAGGACTGCGTGCTAGTTCGCACCTCCTTCAGCCTAATGTCCACTGTCATGATGCTAGACGTCTACCGTGATAGAGGCCCTAGGATGAAAATCGGCTACGTGATCGACGGCCAGTTTCTCGGTACCCGACTCATGTTGGCCCCGACCGCTGTCTACAGTCTGCTCTTCGCGGACGATGGTGAGTCCAAAGCCATGACAGAACCGGATATGCAATGGAATATGAATCTCATCGCCTCTGGCTGCCCAAAGTTTGAGCTGACCATCAATACGGACAAACGGTAGTCACATACTAATCGGCATTAGAGGGGGAACACACCACGGCCAGTTCCAACGTGAATGACACTTGATTGGTGTCCGTGGATAAGTTCGCCTACCTAGGCAATACCATCACAAACAACACCAGGATAAACTATGAAATGGCAGTCAGGGTCTCAAAAGCCTGCCGAGCTGTCGGCCGGCTGCAGACCTCCGTTTACAACCGCCACGAACCTCGATTCAACACGGAACTCAAAATGTACAGGACGTTAGTCCAGACAATGCTAGTGTGCGGGTCGGAGACGTGGACTGTTTACGCCAATCAAGTCAGGCAACTCAATCACTTCCACCCTACATATACTCGGATAATAATAAAACTGAGGCGGCAAGACAGGATCTGGGACATGGAAGTCCTGGAAAGGACGGGAATCTTCAGCATACCCGACATTCTGAGGTAACTGCAGTTGCGCCGGGGTAGCCATCTCGCGGGGATGAATGACTGGTGCATACCCAGCTGACTCTTTTGCAAAGATTCTACTGCGGGTTCTTGTAATAAGGAGAACCACAGCGATGCTAAAAGGACAGTCTGTGGACCCCTCTTATGGATCTACAAATCAATTCGACCTAGAGAAGAATAGTAAAGATTGGAACTACAATTCATGAAGTCAGCTGTTAAAGTCAAAAGAGCCACTCGTAGGCCTAACCCTTCAGACTTACAACACCAACACCCAACCACTTCCAACCCACCCGGGCTTACAATGAATTTTCCGCGGACGGATAAACCTCGTCGCATATTTTCGGTCTTGATATACTAAAGATTGCATCACGCTGGCACCTCCTGCCTCCGTTGACGTCCCCACTGTCACATCTGTAGTGACCCCCACTTACGCAACCACCACCGCCACCGGTGTCCACATTCTTGAAGCTCCGACGCCTCGGCCGACTCCGTCAATCCTCACCACCGCTACCATCCTCTCGACGTAGAGGGCTATCTCGCCACCTCATACCACTGGCAAGAACACTGTCTACATCCAGTCTGCAACTACCCTCACTGCAGCAGCTCCCACCACCAATAATGCGTACTCGATCTCAAAATGCTTTTATAGCGGTCTCACCATTACCCCGCGCATCGGTCCGGTCGGTTGCCTGCGAATCTATCGCACAGAAACTGGCGAACTAGTGTCTGAAGCACCAACATACACCAACCGCACCTACATCAACTGTACGCATTACCCATGCACAGCCACTCACGTCATAGACCTACCTGGTCACATGCCCATCCAAGAAAACCAGCAGTAAGTCCCTACTGGCCAAATCAAATCACCCCAAATCTCACCACCATATACGACACACACGAGTCCGTCCCTCATCATGTGAGATCCGAATAGTCAACTCTCTGTGTGAAATCTTCGTGGGTTAAATGGACGACAAGGTGGTGTGTATGTGTGCGTGCCAACAAAACGGGACAAGCGAGAGATGTGCTGGATCAACATGGAGCCATATCGGATTCTGGCAGGCGTTATCTGAACGCGCACCATAAAAAATGCCAGCAATTCGGGGTGCGGTGGTAAACCCAATTTCCGGCAGACGTTGCGCACATTGGGATTGTTGCGGTTCTTCACTTTTCTTGTAGGTTAAAATCCTGGACATTTGCTGTGTGAACCAGGGGGTGTGGAGGGGAGCGCCAAGGTGCGGGCTTGACCATGCCATCCACCTACGTCCTTCCCCCGACTATGGGGCTCTTGACTATGTCTTAACACTGGGAACAGGTGGGGAGAAGAAGGGAGTGCGGTAGATGCAGTGTAAGTCCACATTTAATATAGAATAATCCACGCACAAGTCATCGTCCCTGCTCCACCTTGCTGTGGGACACACGACGGACATCATCGATAACGATGGTCGAACTGTCGTGTGTGTATGTATGTATTTGGGGGTTACGGACGGTTTTTTGTTGACGCCATTCGTGTACAGTCGAAATTATAGATGCAATTATATACAGTCAGCATAAAATATAGTCGTTGTTGCTTTTTGAATTCCTCATAAATTAACTGGTAACTTTCAGCTAATCAGCTTATACTAAGGTCTATAGGCATAGACCGAAATCTGATATATGAATATTTACACCGAAATACATCAGCCACCGCGGTATAGCCGCGTAGTATTCATTAACCGTCGACAGGCAACCTTTAGTATATTTTAGTGTTACAAGATAGCATAGTAGCTTTTAACTAGCACCTGTGCAACTAGTATGGTATCTTGTTACGCTAACATAAAATATAGTCATTTTTACTGTCTACGGCAACATTTCACGTCAAGCGTGCAGTGATCCTTGACACGTAATTAATTCACGAAACAAAGTTCTTGGCTGACCGTAGATATTCCTGCAGTGAGAGTCGTCGGAGATAAAATATTAAACAATCCGTCTGCCTTTCAAATTCAACCATGGCATCAGAAGCCAATACTTCACTTGGAAATGAGTTCAAGGTCAAATTACTCGCTGACTAAACGAAAACGTCTATTGGTCTATGCACGGATATCTGAGTTTGGCCTTGTGTGAATGACCGCGCAGGTGACTCACGTTTGTAAACTCAAAGAAATCTTCAAATCTGAACGAACAGTCATGCCTGCAGATAATGCGGAATGTCTGCAGCAGGCAGCACCTCAGTAGTCTATGTGGTGTGGGTGGCAAATTCAGCTTGAACTGTCTGCCTGGATATGACGGAGTCCTAAGATCGTCCTCCAGTTTTGTCACTCGTCGTTGCACCTGCTGCGTGGGGTCAATGCCTTTCTTTATCCACAGCATCCATGCTGGCATGCCATATTCCAGATGCAAACGAACGCACCAAAGATTCGCCCAAACATTTCGCGAGGAAAGACTACGAAAGCGTATCTAATCCAGTGCATGATACTTGTTGCGTTTCGGGCGGCTCTTTTGCAGTGTTCGGAGGGTGGCAAGTTTGAACTTATCCGGATACCTAGGTCTTTGTGTGCATCCATTTCTTCTACCGAAATCGTATTTATGGTATACTGGTGTTTTGGGAAGCGTCTTCGACCACCTTCAAAAACTGAGACCACACATATGTAAACATTAAAACTTATAAGCCACTTGGTGGACCACGCAGCCAATATATCAACGTTTTCCTGTGATTTCTGCGCGTCATCAGCACAGATGATTGTTTTCCAGTTTTTTATCCTCGGTAATAACCACGGCATTGCGGTCAGGATTTTCAGTACAATCGTTTACATATATGGGGAAGAGGAGAGAATCTAGGATCGAACGCCTCGGGATGTCGCTTTCTATTGGTGCCCATTCGGATGCAGTGGTACCTAAAATTACTCTTTGTACCCTGTATGACAGGAAACATTCAATTTGCTTAAAATGTTGCCCTGGATTCCACACTGTCACATATTTAGAAGAGTCGCTGATGAGGCTCGCATTCAAGTGTCCTTCTGAAGTTGAAGAAGATGGCATACACTGGACAACCCTGGTCCGCGGGTTCCGTCATTTTCCCTGCGAGTAAAGACTACTATTGAGGCATGAGTAACCTTGCACAAAATGCAGATTAAACAAACGCAGTGGTGATTTTTGAATTCAAGCCTGGAACGTCCTTTGTAGATCGGGGGACGAAGTAATTTTCATTCGTCCGTGGACTTTGGGATACCCTATGCACCTACTCTCATAGTACGTCGTGCAATTCTTGAAGAGCAGGCGGGCGAATTCTATCTGGACCAGATGGCTTGGCAGTCTTCAGGCGGAGTATTTCTGCCCTCATCGGTGAGGGTGATAAGTAAATGTTATCATCTAACGCAAACTATACATAATTTTGTCATTGTTCTGGGTAGGGGAGAAGAAGAGGATTCGTTTCGTGGGTGAATATCGACTGAAGGAAGCTATAAGGCGCTGATGCTTTCTTTTGGTCACCCGTCTCCAGTATGCCGTTTTGGACCTCGGCACCGAAATCAGGTCACAATTTCTTTTTCCATTGCGCATGAAACCGTAAGTGGCTTGGGATGCGACAAAGAATTCTGCAGTGTGCTTAACTCACAGCTCCTTCGAAGTTTATTGATCTCACGGTGACACACATCCTGCTGTCGATTGTATTCCTGCGAGCGTTCAAAACACCGCGTTTGTGGAAAGGGAAGCTGATGTGGCCAGATTGTTATTACTTTGCGTCCGAAGGTTCCGACGAGGCAGATATGCACCCGGTAAGTGCGTTGGCAGCGTGGGTATCTTGGAAGCAGTTGGCTGTTAATATTGTGGAGCCGAGGCGCTTGTGACTTGCTAGCTTCTCTTCTGGCTTTGGCTGCAGCGATCGGGTTTGCTTTGTAAATGGCTGCGCCAGTCATCACTCCTCCTGTCCAGGCAGGTCTGTTCTGGACAAGGTCTCCGGGTTGATCTGCAGACGTTTAAAAGAGTTCGCCAGAGTGTCCTTGTAGCTTCCTTTTGGTTTGTTTGATTGGCGAACACCCGTGACGACATCACCATAGACGAGATGCTATCGTAGGCATATGTCTTCCACCCTCACGAGGTGACCGCTCCGGTGTAGTTGCAGTTGCCTCAGCATGGCCTCGATGCTGAGAATTCCAGTCCGTTCTAGGACTTCCGTGTCCAGGATCCTGTCCTATCATCTTATCTTTAGTATTCTGGGAAGGCAGCTAAGACGGAGGTGTTTGGGCTTCCTGGCATGGCTGGAGTAGACGGTCTAGGCCTCCACTCTGTGCAGGAGTGTCGCCAAGACGACGGCTTCGTACCTCTTCAGTTGGAGGCCGTGATGATTTCACACTGGAGCCTGAAGTCCGCCGAAGATTTGGCTGACTTTGAAGATCCGGTGGGCCACTTTGTCGTTGATCTTGATGCAGCTTGACATTGTGCTGCCTTAGTAGATGAAGTTGTCCACGACTTTCAGTTCAGTGCCGTTGACGTGGATGTGAAGGACCCTTTATTCAGCCGCCGCTATCAATTGATGCATGACCACCATTTTGTCCGTGTTGGCAGCGCCGACATGTGAGAAGCGGGGGATGTTTAGCATTGAAGAGGCGAAACACTTAAGAATTGCGAACCTCCCGTTTGGCTTGGGTGGCGGTGATCCGGTTTGCTTCGCAGATAGCCGCGCTAGTCTTGACTGCTCTTCTACAGGCCGGTCTGTTCTGGACGAGCTCTTCCCGAGTCTCCGGGTTGGTCTGCAGTCGCTTCAGAGAGTTCTTGGAAGTGTCCCTGTAACGTCGTTTTGTCCTCCCTTTCTGAGAACACCCATAGCAACATCTTCGTAGAAAATTTGTCTGGGTAATCTCTCATCATCTATCCTCACGAGGCGGCTGCTCCATTGCAGTTGCAGTTGCTGAGGACTGCTGTCCATTTCAGGACCTCCATGTCCGGGATCCTCTCCGGCAATCTTAGCTTCAGTATTCTATGAAGGCAGCGGTGATGGAAGTGTTTTAGCTTCTTGGCTTGATTGGAGTAGACGGTCCAGGTCCCCGCTCCGTGCAGATGCGTCATCAATATGGTGACCTTGTACATCTTCACTCTGGCGTTCAGTTGAAGGCCATGGTGATACTGCCCGGAGGTTTGCAGCCGGCCGAAGGCCTGGCTCTCTTTGGAGATCCCATGGACAACCTCATCACCAGCTTTTGTCCTGCGTGAGGATGTGCTTCCTGGATAGGAGAAGGTGACTGTCGTCCACATTAATTCGAGGAGGTCTGTATTTCGTGTTGGGCGAAGGTTGGTGCATGACCACCGCTTTGTCCGTGTTGATTGTTGGTCCGGAAGTGGCACACCCGGCGGCGAAGAAGTTCATGCCCCTTTGCATGTCCTCTTCGGTCGTGATGTAGATTATTCAGTCGTCCGCGAAGAGCAGGTCGTGGAGTGTAGTCATGGCAAAATGCGTTGAGGCCTGAATGCACCGGCTGCTAAGAAGATGGCCGTTGGTCCCGTAGGCGATGCGTATCCTCCGACGCTCATCACGATAGGCGCTTATTGGCATAGCAGAGAACATGAGGTTTAAGAGGGTTGGGGCGAGTACGCAGTCCTGCTTCACTCTTCTATTGCAAGTGCTTCTGAGACGGTCGTGTTGTCCATGACGCGCGGCATCATCCCCTCGCGAAGCTGATACCCTATGTATGCCGAATTTCTACTTGATTTTTTACGGTTCATTGCGATTTATTGTGTCGAAGGCTTTCATCTGGTCCACAAGGGTAGTAGAGAGGTGGGTCCGCATTTTCTCGCACTCCTCTTGCGGCTAGCGGGCGGCAAAGATCGTGTTGGCGGTTCCACGCTAATGCCGGAAGCCATAGTGGCTTTCCGGGAGAAGTCCTTGACCGAGATGACCGTTGAGACGGTTGAGGGGAATGCTGTACATGCAGTTTGTCAAGTCGATTTCCTGCTTATAGTTCGCGGCCGGCTTTGCCTGCTGTGCCTTGTGTGTTCACATCTCCCTTTCGCTTCAGAACGTTATGCCGCTCTGTAACAGTGGCACAAGTGGCTCCAGTGAACTTTGCCCTTAAAGCGCAGCCCTTGTTCGAGGTCATGTAGTACCTAATAAATCAGGTTAAGATTGCCCTTTTGTTACCTTAAAAGCCCGAGAAATAAGTGAAGACGCTTCCATTTTTCTGAATAAAATCAATGTTTCAAGTTAGTCTTCTCGCCCGATGCTGAACCGTGTCAAGACTTAGATGGTTCATTGAGAGCCACGGCTTCTACGTCTGTGAGCCATACCAAAAATAAGGACAAACACAAATGTTGCATCCCTTCCCAAATGGCTGCTTTGACTATTACATACGTCTTCTCGATAGCGTATAGTATTCCTTTAGCGATTTTATGACCCTGGTACATTTAAGCGAGGATTCCAAACTAACCGTACCTAAGAACCAAGAGCATTTTACTATGACGGCAGTGGTGGCTGAGCACAATTTACGTTATATGGTTTCACGCTGTTGATTGACGGTGTTTTTCTGGATTTACTTATTAACCGTGCTCGGGTCCCAGTTCACACTACAGTTTCGTAATCTTTCCCGTCGCCGTCGCCGCCGCGGCCGCCGCCAAATTACCTTATCTGCTCACATCCCCCCCTCCGAGCGTGGTTTCGCTTTCCACGATCGCTCAGCAGAGACCTCGGTTTTCCTTGGTTCATGCACCGTGTCGTTCCAAAAAACGTGTTGTCCTCCCTAAGTAACATCTCAGCGAAGTCATTGGGGTCATATTAACGCGCACGATTTAGACCACCTTCACTTCGCCCGGCAACAACCATCATCAGGATTCCGTTCTGTCCACCCCAGTTGCCGATATCACTTTGGGTCTGCCATTATCTAGCATCCCTAGGCGCACAGTAATGACACTTCGTTCTCACTAACTGAGTTGCCCCTATAGTTTCGTGCTGCCATAAGGAAAAACCTAACCTGCTCCTCCTTCGCGAAGTAGATTTGTGGCAGTTCGCGTCTCCTCGCTCTCCGCCTTTGTCACGCTGCCCTCCTGTCCGCCTCACACTCCTTGTCGATGCGCTGCTGGGATGCGCGAGTGCTCGAAGACAATCAACGCTGTCCCCACTCTGATTGGCTGGCGGACGTGGAGACAACGAGAGGCGCACACACGCGCTCACAACACCCCGAAGGCGGACACAGACAACAGCTTGCTTGGGGCGCGCTTGCGGCAACTGCCTACAGAGCCCTTGTGTACGCACTTCCTCCACAGCTACTGTCCACGATCTGCTCTTCGTTGATGACGGCGCACTCAACAGTACGACCGAAGAGGACATGCAACAGGGCATGGATCT